CCGCCCCGTTACCCGTTTAAGCGGGTTTTCCACTCCCCGTTCGGGGCGGGTCCCCGCGAGTATCTGGTTTGTCGGGTTTTTTTGCCATCCCTATTTGCAACCTAATCGAACCTTGTGTACGTACAACTCAAAACAACATTGCTACATTTAGGACCGAGTTTTTGCAAATTATTATCTATTACTCACCCCCTTTCCAACAATAAACACTAAAATTCCCACAAAAAATATACAAAAGGAGAGAGAGAAAGAAAGAGAAAAAAGATTGTTCACCACTCTCAGAACTTTTTCTTTTACCCTTGCCCACACATTTAAAAAAAAAAAAGCGGATAAGGTTTCTGCCAAGTAATTTGCACTCAAAACACAAATTCTAATGTACATTAGATTTTGGCTCATGATAAAGCAAGATTACATGATAAGAAACTACCAAAGCCGCCTTTTAAAGTTTCGCGTGGCAGTCTGGTAAGTACGAACCAGCAAACCAGCTCCGATTCCAACTCCAAGGCAAACGCCAAGGCCTATTCCAACACCAACCCTAACGCCTGCATTGAACCAGGTAAGTTCTCCATCTTCATCTTCAACATATTCTGTCCTCCTCCAGTACAAGTTATCATAGACTTCATCACTCTCTGGTTTATAATTTCTGTATTCTGCAACCTGGATAGCCAAAAACTAATATTTGTCAGCAATTGCATATTCTAAACAATAAAAGCGAGCAAATGATAATGCCAACTTTTCCATCAAAAATTGGAGTAGAAAAGGAAATACTGTAAAAAGAATAAAGACGTGCTTTCTGAACAAAGAATGAATTTGGTGAAATTGGTCTAGCAGACTATGTCAGATGCAGTATGAAATTGTTTATGGCAACACATTTGATGCAAAACAAAAAAAACTTAAGCCTTGTTCTTGACTCCTTTTTTTGCCACTCCTCTTCATTAACAGATGTATTTGAAGGTTCAAAGCCACTAGGTCATTAGCAACTATAGCATACCATGTTAATCTTGGTCCATTTCTCCCCGCATAAACATGTATATCAAAAATATTGTTGGGTAGAAACAGAAAGATAAGATGTCATTTTTAATGCTTAATGTAATAAAGACAATAAGATGGAAATAACTCTTTAAGAAGTTAAGACTCCATGTCAGACATGTACTGCACGTCAACACTCCTCAAAAACCATATTATGCTTCTTTGACGGTATCCATATTGCGTTTCAAGCACCTTCAAGCACTAGCCATTTGTAATAACATCTCATACAATGAAAAAAAGAAATCAATTTTGCGTGAAAACGACATTTCATGTGAATAACAATGCATAAGAGGTAGGACATAATTTCATACATTTGCGTAATTTCTAAAATCACATAAATCTACAAAAAAGAGCCAAAATGAGTACTAACTAAAACAATCTGGACTTGACTCAAACTCATTTTCCACCTACGATTATTCTTTAAAAGTTTGCCCGGTACAATTTCTAGAATTTCTAATTCTCCAACTATTATGGTAGTCGTAGTCTGTTAACTTGTTCTAGACATCAAGTTATCCTATCTGTGTGCGTCGGCCTTGTGTCAATCTCTCTCACAAAGTGCCATGCACACTAAGTGACCCCAGAATATGGAAGAAGAGAGACATCAGCACGTTTGGCTAAGTTCAAATTTACTTTTTAAGTAATTCTTTTAGTTAAACTTGTTTTTCTGAGGTCTTTTAAAAGTCACTTGTGTGGATTTCAGTTCAAAGTTCACTTTTCTGACAACCAAAAAAAGCATCTTTTTTCTTTTCTTAAGCATAGCCAAACATGCTGTAGTCCGGTTCAGCACAAGAAGACTTGGGTTTTCCAATATTGATGTTTCCCTTATAAATTGCATGTACTCCAGCATTTTAACAATAGATGCCTCTAGACAGACAAGTTATAGAGGGCAGAATACTTAGAATATGGATAATGGAACAATAAAATAAAAAAAGACAAAATTAGGATCAGTCTCTCTCTTTATACTCTGTGCCTGCCCATAACCCATGGCATGTATTTGATGAGACACATCTTGCAGTCTAAGATTCAATTTCTACCCGTAATGGGCCTTTCCCCGTAAAGGAAGCAAGCAGAAAGCCAACATGGAAGGATAAGACCCATGCATTGAGCTCAAAAGCAATTTAGTACAAAAATTGACTTGTCAACCAGTACTTATGAGTAAAAGTTGGACTGTGTGTATGGAACCTAATCTTACTTTTTACTTATCCACTGTTCACTTCTTTATTAGTGTCCATATGCAACATGCGGATGTAGCTCCCAAGTTGAGGTTGAACCACCATCCACCATAAATCTCTGTGTTTGTGCATGTTTTCTATTTCATTCTATCTATTATTGCTCTTTTATGAATCGATTAGGGCTTAATCCTTAACATTAAATGAAAAAGAAAATTAAATTGATCCAGGAAATTACAGAGGGCAAACTTAGATTTGAAAGATGCTAGCACAAAATTGGTAAAAATTTAAGGAGAATACTTGAAATGACTGTTGTATAAACTAGCAATGAATTAATCAGCCCACATCTTTTATGCAATACGTAAATGGCCAGGTTAAAATGATTCACAAGCAAACCATAGGCAAAACCTAAGGAAACCTTGGCTGTTAGGGTTATTGGGTATTCATCCCATTGTATCAAGTCTCTCTAGTTTCTAACGCTATATAAAGGAGTCAGAGATTGAAGAGGCTGTTTTTGTAAAGTTTGAGAGACAAAAACACAGAGGTGTGAGGACTCTCTAGAAACTTCTTCCTTCTCAGTTTTACTAAAAAATCATCTTGGTTTTTAGTAAAAAATCTGGACTTGTGGACATTGCTCTCACACGAAGGTAAACCACTATAAATCTCTATTTCTAGGTTTGCATTTCCATTCTTGTTTGTTCATTACTGTTCTCTGGTTTGGGTTTAATTTATAATGTGTGTGCTCTACAGTAGTAGTATCAGAAGATTTGCCAGAAATTAGTTGATAAACAATTTACGAAATCTAAACCAAACACAAGACTGGAACGATCAAACTTCATTACCGGTAAATCAAGTTCAGATGCAACATCTTGATTGGATTCGGTGGTTTCATCCTCAGGAATTGAACCCAAAGTTCCCTTTCTATGCTTTTTCCGATGTTTAAGCTGCAGAGTCTTGGTTAATATTATCGGTGTTCGAGAAAAACTTCCCGCAACATAAACTTCTATAGTAGGTGAGAACAATTCAGCACTTGTAATCTGTTTACCCTTCAGAAATCCTGTGCCAGGACTCATCACTGATTGACAATCCATGCTCCACTTATGTGCTATGTCATTTGAATCCCCGAGAAAACCATTAGTATTAGGCATTTCTAGAACTCCAAAGAGCACAAGATCCTCTCTATTGAAAACTTCAAACTTAACACTCCCTGTTAACCTTATACCATCTGTGCTTACAAATGTAACCTCTTCGAATGTCTTATCCACCCGATCCCTTCGAAGTAAACAAGAAACTCCTTCTGAGTCAATCGAACACCTCACACCATTCACTTCAAGGAGGGTGTCCGGACTGAGGGGGATGTGATTGAGAGTAAGAGATTCGGGGGTCGACTCATCCACCTTAAAATTGCTTATTCGGACATAGAACACTCTTATATCAAACCAAGGCAATGAAAACTTGCCACCAGATTGGTATAAAGAATGCTTTTTAATCTGTAATCCTGGATCAGCCAGACTACCATTGCTATGCGATTCATGAGAATTCTCCATCTTTTCCTGAACTTATTTTACACCAAACTCCTATGAGGGCATTGATATAACCAGATGAAGGCAACTCGCAAATGCAAATGAATCCTATTTCATAACCAATAGGAGTCAAAATGAAAAATCAAAATTTCTTAAAAATGTAAAATATTAAGGTACAAAAGCAATGTATATTGCCTATACTAATTCTATTCCAAAAACTTGCAGAGATTTCTTATTGAATATCCCTTAGAACCCACAAATCTATGAACAAATTGGCATAAGAGAAACATATGAAGTTAAGGTTGCCAGGTAGTAAAGAATCATTGATCTTTGCAATTTGAATCCTCAATTTAAGGAAATGAGAAGACAGAATCATAAAAACATCCCCTTCTTTCACCTAAAGACTGTAGCGAATTTTACGAAAACAAATCCATGATGGATGCTATGATATTCAAGCATATTTCCAACAAAAAAAAAGGATCAAAATGTAATTCACAAGTAGTCTGCTTAGTCAAAGAGATTTAATCAAGAAAGAAAAATTACTCATAAAATGTATTACAGAATAAAAAATAAATAAATAAATAAATAAAGAAGGCCTATATATAGTCAAAGGGCAGCTAAAACCAGAAGCTTCAAGGTAAAAAGTAATATAAACATTAGAACATGAAAAATTTTCTTAAAAATATTAATTTTTAATTTTTTATATAACCGGAACCGAAATGTTTGATTTAGAATGAAAAAACCAATCAAATAGGCTTGTTCCATAAACGAAAAGCTAAAACCTTTCTTATCATTTCATATCAGTCTTTTTCAAATGAAGAAAACACTCAATCGTATTAAAAGATAATATTCCACAATCATTTAAGGAAATAATAATCAAGGTATGAGGGCGAGCTCCTCTTACTAACCTTATAAAATCGAAATCAAGAATCAATATCAGAGCTCGCTTAGCAATTCGATTTGTCCAGAGCTCAGACAAGTAATTGAACCCGAAACTGCAACTGAAAGATCAATCAGATTTCAAGATGATATTCTTCCATCCACTATCTTTCTTTTTCTATTTTTCTGCACCCACACGATTTATTGCGGCCCAAATCAAGAATCAGTGACGCCAGTCTTGGATTTTCTGTGAGCATACGGAAGTTTTTTTTGTGGAATAAACGGCTGAGGATTTTATGTGTATTCAAATAAAAATCTAGAATTTTTGATTGGGTCGTTGAAAATTTTATTTTTGTTGAAGTGCATGTGTACATGTTTGGATAAGTTTAAGGGATAATCTCATTTTCGGTCACTCAACTTTTACTGAATTTTCAATTGAATCATTCAACTTTAATTTGTCATAATAAAATTGTTGAACTTTATTCTATTTTCAGTATTGGTCATTATGCTAACTCCTATCACTACAATTAACATGTTAAACCTATGTAGATGATAAAATTTGACGGCAATTTTACACGTCTCATATTTTCAAGTAAATATGTCGTCTATTTAAGTCAATGTGCAATATTTAACAATCTATCTGTTAAGTCATAATTAGATGGTATGTATTTTCGAATTCAACATCCACGATATGATTTGATGACATTATTTAAATGTCCACATATAATTGAAATGTTAATTTTAGTAACTATTGCTAAGAGTCTAAGAGAGCGGTTGTGTTGAAAGTAAATTGAGGTTCAATGATCAAATTGAAATAAATTAAAGTTGAATGATCTAATAGAAACTTTACTAAAAGTTGAATGACATAAATAAAATTAATCTGTTGATTAATTTGAAAAAAAGTTTTCGGTGCGACCTTGAACAAAAATATTTACGATTTGATTTATTCTACTGGTATCCTCCTATAAAAGGGGATGCATGTCCCCCTATATGTGTATATGACCACATGTCTCTGTACTCATAGCACAACTTTTAAAATTTAGGTCGGTGCCTTTCTTTTGAATGAAATTGACGTCAGGAGTGAGAACTCAACTTGTCAGATTGACATATTGCACTTGCGATGAAGTTTAGGAATTGTACATACAAAAAAAACCAATATAGCTTTTCCTAGTTAATAAAACAGGAAAAGAATGAATAATCTAGGTCTATATATGACCTAGGTGAGCAGACATCTAACACTGAGGGAGATGTACTGTTTTCTTGTTCCTCTTGTTTGATTCAATCTCGTAAATGGAGTTCCAAGAATCAATTTTTGGTCTCTGGCGACACCCACGTGTGCAGTTCATACTTTGAAGAATATCAAAGAAGATTGTAAATTTGAAAGAAGAAGATTCAAGAATGCGGACTGGAAGGTGTAATAATTCAGAAAATCATAATCATGATTAATCACGCTTCAAACATGATTAATGCTAAATCTCAATGTGATTAATTAAAAGTAATATAAACGCAAATATATAGTTATCTAAACATATCTGGATTTGTAGTTTTCGATTAAAAATAAATAAAAATTGTTATCTGTTCTTCTACAAACCTGTTTCCAACAATTCCCTCTCATATGAAAAAGAAAAACTTTTAACACAAAAGAAATAATATTAGAAAACAAATTAATAAACGAGTTTTATTTATTTTTTTCATTTTTTTTTTTCATAATTCAAAGTACAATATATAATCACACAAAAACAGAAAATAACTAATTTTTACAAAAGTTGGTTGCTTATATCGTGAAAATTAAACTCTTTCAATTCAAATTGACTTTTTTTTTGGTTACGCATCATTACGAGCGCCCACACCTGCCCACCCTTAGGCTTTGGTGTAGGAGGTAAATAGCGGGATATGCCTGGATTGGCCAGGGTTTGTGTGCGTTTTCATTGGCTTCCATTGAGGTTCTTCTCCTAAAGATTCGAACCCACGCCAACTTCCCCCAGCTATGTAGATTTTTTCTCCCACTTCCTTTGCCAATCCAGCTGTGCCCGGGGGGGCCAAAATGATTTTTTTTTTTGCCATGTGAGAGTACATCAATAAGCAGTCTCAGAATTGGAAAAAAAAAAAAAGGAAGAGGAGAAGAATTGGTGTAAAACATGCAATTCAAAAGTCTAATATAACTTAAAAGTCTAATAAACGAAATCGAAAATATACTATTTACCTTTATATACAAACAAAAATTTCAAAAAAATAGGGAACAAGAAAACATGAATTAATTCTAGTACATATCAAATTTTTTGTTCTCATTTCTTGTTCCTTATTGATACCAGCTGGAGGTAAAAAGTACTCCACAGAACCCATAAATAATCGACCTCTTTAATTTTCCATGTTTCTTCGAACTTTCACTTTTTGTTCAATGTTGACTAGTGTGTTTTATTTACGAGTTATATACCATTTTAACTTGATTATTGATTAGATCTCATGAGTATTGAACGTTTTTAATGTATTTATTAGTGTCATTTTAAAAGTTATGGTGAGGTGGAGTTAATGATGGTAAAAGTCGAGAAAACAAATGGCTTGAAATCAAAAGAAGAGAAAATAGGAACAAAAGGGCGAAAGAGTCAATTTCCTATATCAAACGAAGAGAAAAAGAGAATATGGACTAAGAAGGTGGCGTCGGGCCACTACCATTATGGTGCCTAGGCTCCACAAAATAGCAAGGCAAATAAAACTGTGGTGCTTCGGCGCCACTGAAGGAGCACCAATACCAGAATCGCGACGCCACAAACCAGGGAAAACTGACGTACCTGAAGACAACTATGACGTTTTTTTTTGTCCCGTTTTGAAACCTATAAAAACTCAAAATTAGAAGAAAACGTGAACACAATTTGGAGATTTAGAGAGCAAAATCAAAGGAGAAAAATAAGAAATCAAAGATTGGGAATCAAGATTTGGAACAAGAAAAACTTGATGCAAGATTCATCCTCTTTTCTACATTTCAATTCAAAACTCGGTGATGTACTCAATGCAAATCTTTTGTTTTTCTTCCATTGTCATGAGTAGCTTAAGTTTTTCATTAGGGCAAACAATGTAATCAAATTGAGACCCTTTATTTCTTTTATTCAAGATTTAAGTGCTTTTATCATATATATATATTGATTTTATTAATGTATTTAATATTTTGAATTATTTGATCACCAATTCAATGAATTTGTGAATCTTTTAGGAATAGAGGTNTGGGCTTCCCCAAAATTCTGGCCCAATTAACATTACTAGTAAACCCTTAACTCAGTAACCTATTTCTAACCCTACACGTTAAAATTGAAATTTGGAGACCAAACTTACAAAACACTCGCCCACTCAACCAATAAACCAAATCAGATGCGCCGGCGCTCTGCTGCATGTACCTTAGTTTCAAATTGTAGTAATCAGCAACGAAGTCTACCATCTTGTGAGCACACTCCCTGAGTTGTTTTACGTCCATTGGATTCAAACCATCTTCCCTATACAATTCAACAAAACCCAGATACATTATACTTGATTGCACTTTCTTTATAATATTATTTAAATATATGATGCGTGGCCCGAAAAATGTGATTTTAGTCCGTTTGCCTGCTAGTTTATGCGTTCTTCAGTTTCTCTATATTCATAAGAAATAGATAGTCGGATTATTAATTTGGTTACAGAATTAAATTGGCTTTTTGCTGATGTTATTAATGAAATTCTAGAATTCAACATATATTTTCAGTTATATTGTTTGCGAGATCTTGGTAATTTACTAATCCAGCAGGGAATAATTATTTTTTTTATTTCTGCATTCATTTTTCATATATATATATATCTGTCAAACAATTTTTATTGATATGGTGGAAAACAAGTTCAATAAAATATCCGACTTTACGGAAGGTTGTTAGAGATTTATTAGCCATTCTAGTATCTACTATGGCATCTGAGTCAGCGTTTAGTCCAAGTGGTAGATTTGTGAGTCAACATAGAAATAACTAGGCTTCACTCGAAGACTTTAAAAGTTTTTATGTGTGCTCGGGATTGGCTTTGGACTAATATTCATGGTAGGATTTATTTTTTTATATTTGTTATTCATGCACTTTCTTTATTTACTAATTTTTTCTCTATTGTGTGTAGAAAATTCTGCTCCTTCATTGTACTCCGGAGCTCGTGCAAGGTTTAGTGATGAAGACATTGACGAAGAGGTACAATTTTTTGTTTAAATCTTCAGTTAAGACCATTCTTGATTATGTAGTATTATTACTCTAATTACATTTCTTATTTACTATATAGGAATCAACTTGACTCTTGACCTATGTTACTAAGAGTTGTGGGGAAGAATGAAGATTGACATATGCTAGTAAGAGTCTTGACCTGTGTTGATAATATTGTTTGTTAAATTCGAATTTTGCATTTGAAAGTTGGAATATTGTTTGCATTAATTTGCTAAGTTGGCTTAGTATTGCATTTTTGTCTTTATTGATTTTTCTTCATATTTTTTTTTCAATTTGACGGTTGGAGTTTGGACTTATAAAAAATAATTTATTTTCGTGATTATTAACCGAACCGACTTACATGGTTATGGTGCAGTTATGGTATGACCAAAAATTTGGTGGTGCGGAAGGTTTTGGCCGGGCCGAACCGAATCGAACCGTTGTCATCCCTAACCTACACTAATTATTGTGGTCATTAAATGAATTTTTAGAACTAATATTTCGTTTAACTAAAATATACTCACATAGAGATATGTGATTAAATTAGTTAAATATGATCAATGAGAACTCGAGAGATTTAAATTGAATACCATAAAATAATTCGATCAAACACTACATTATGTTATGAATCTTGAACTAAGACTTAAATGTGATCAATAGATAAAATTATTATGCCCTTATAGCACATTTCATATTTGAATTCTAAATCGATATTTGTGGACATCTCGCTATTTTCAAGTAGTTATATAAAAAATCACAACAAATCAAAATTCTTTATTTGTTTTCGTCAAATAGTAGTTATAAATATTAAATTAAGCATTAAAGTATAGTTATCTTGGGAACAATAATCCGGACTCAAAATTCACTATATTACTTGTTAAATATCGTACATTTGTGATATAAAAAAGCGAAAAAAATGTCTTTCCATGTCTATACAATGTAGCACAAGTTTTTCCACTATGTGCTATATTGATACCTTCTACATATCTATACTCGTCAAGCACGGATTTCATGCTCGTCTCGTGAAACACGCTTTCAGCACCCTTAGTGGCCTTCATACGTATCAATTTCGTGTCTTCAAATTGTATGAGGAGACCTGTTCTTTGGCTGAAGTATCCCCATATTGTATGATGGACTATTTCTGTGTTGGTTGTGCTTTGTGCTCTGAGAATGTCTGAACTTGTTTCAAGCTTGAGAATGAAACAGTCTTCATTTTTCATGGTTTTTTCTCCTATGCAAACTGCGTTCAAGAATAAGTTGGTCGTTGATCTTGGGTCCAAACCCTACAAATATCAGAAAAATTAATACACTTTATTTTGTAGCAAATCCACAGATTTAGAGTTATAAAGATGTATTATGTTCGGGGGCTTATGCTTTTGAAAACCAATCGGAAAAGAATTCGAGGAATGATGACATTTTTTCCTTTAGTAATTAGCAAGAAATCATATACATTAAGTAAAATATGAACATATTAGGCCTCTGTTTGGTGGAAATTAAAATCAGAATGTTAGTAAATTTTGATAAAAGTTAATAAAATATGTGGTTGAAAATTTGCAAGTCTCATAAAATATGTGGTTAAACTTAATTGTTTACTTTGACTTTGATAAAAATCTGAATTTTAATTTCTATCAAAGAGGGGTTAGATTGTGACACTGTGTGATATCATGTTTTATGAAAAATAAGAAAATGAAGATAGTAAATAGAATATTGTCATTTTTTCTTTTTCCCAACACATTTTATTTGTTTCCTATATCTCTAGTAAGTTTGAAACATAGTTGGATTTTAAAACTTACATATTAACTTATAAGTGAAATTTGAGTCTAGCCAAACTAGCTTTAGAAAGAAAAAGAAAGTTCCAAATTCCATCTATTATCATGTAGAGTGTTGCCAAGTACAACGAAGCAAGCATACCTGGAAGAACCTCCGTAGAGGTCTCGGAGGCCCTTTGGAAGCATTGAAATTGGAGGATGATTGTCTCCATCCTATTTTTCCATCACTTCCAGCACTTACTTTGCAGCCTGAGAGAACTAGTTCTAAGTACCACAGATCAGGATTCTTTTGCAATAGCACAAAGCCATCGGCTTCGCAGCTTCGTTTCGCATTTCAAGATAATTATGGTCCACGTCTAATACTACTACCATCTTTACTTGCCCAACAGCATACAATACATGCTACTGTTTACATCATTGGTTGAAGCTATCCTTCCTGTTGCTGCTAGATATTGTTGAACTATGTATTCACCGTTAGAAGCTTCCTGTTAATGCCACAAAAAGATTCAAGATGCGTATTTCTTGTTATGGAAATCGAGCTTGTTTTTCAATTCAAGTATTGGACAAATGACTTATTTTTTGCCATAGTGATTAAAAAAACAAGATGTTGGAGTTTTAGATCTAAAGAGTGTGTTAGAAATGGTTAGGAAAGGTACGAACAAAAGTACCATATGGGCTATACGTTGAAAGTTCTTGGATTTATAAGTGAATTAGACTCCTCCTAATTAGAGAGGTAACTCTAAGTCCCAACAACACGAAATCCGTGTCTACAAGTTACAGAGAGAATGTTCAAGATGAACTTGAAATGAATAAAGGTGTCCCCACTCCATTCAACATGCATCAAACCAACCAAAAGATGACTTAGTTCAATGCTTATTGCCTCTGATTTATAAAAATTGTTCACGTGCCAAACATTTGGTGAAAAATACTCAGCTTTCACGTGAGAGGTCATGTTGAAAACAAACTGTAAATTATATGAACATCTACCCTCTTTAGCATTTTAAACTTTACAACGAGGTGGCTTAATGGAGAATGACTGTAACAGCTATAAAAAGGAATCATGGTCGAACTATTTTGAAAGTGATCATGGAAAATCAAGAAGATATCATGGAGACAGCGAAAATATTCTCATATTTTTAAGAGTAATGGACAAGGAGCCATAGTGAAAATTGAGGGTTTGATAATAATCTTTGATATGGATGGGTAAAGAACAAATTTATTGTTAATATTGATAATTGTAAAGTAGTATAGGGTTATTTATGTATTTTCTCATCTCAGTTTTTGTATATAAATAGGCGTATGTAGCTTCCTTTTTCATTCATTCAATTCAGTTGAAATCAACAACTTTTCCCGCCACTTTTTCTCCATTTCCAAATCTCATTTCTTCTGTTGTAAACTTGACATGGTATCAGAGCATTGAATTCATTCAATGGCGAATGAATCTAATCCCTAAACGGAGAATCAAAACCAGATGAATCAAGCTGATTCACCTATTGATCCGTCTTTTGCAGAAACAATGACTGGAGATGTGGCTTCTATCATGAATCGGTTAATCAGCAATCCTAGCAGTCTATATTATCTCCACTACGGAGACAATACAGGAATGCAGCTCATTTTAGTGGTTCTCACTGAAGAGAACTATGCCACATGGAGCAGATATGTGATTATGGCATTGAGTATGAAAAATAAAGAAGGATTCATTGATGAATCCATTATCAAACCTACTCTAGATGATCCTCTTTATGGTGCTTGGAGAAGATGCAATCATGTAGTATCTTCATGGATTATAAATTCAATTCCAAAAGAACTATATCCCAGTCTAATGTACAAAGACTCAGCAAGGTAGATTTAGATTGAGCTTAGAGACCAGTACAATCGAGGAAATGATCCATTAATTCTTACTTCAATAGATTCAAGGGGCTTTGGGAAGAACTAGAAAATTATAGACCAGAAACAGGCAGCACAAATTACAAATCTGAAGATCAAACTATGCAGTTTTTTATGGGACTAGATGAGCATTTTTCAAATGTGAGAAGTCAGATCTTAATGATGGATCCAATACCACCACTCAACAAGGTGTTTGCTCTAGTTTTACAGGATGAAAGGCAATGGGGAGATTATAAATAAGAAGCAACATAATAGTGTTGATACTGCTGCATTCACTAGTAGATTGGTTCCTAAGTTTGTCAACAATCAGAGATCTGTTCCTCTGGCTCAATCACAGAGAAGAGAAAGGCTAGTGTGTAGCTATTGTGGAATGCTTGGGCACCTTAGAGGAAAATGTTACAAACTTGTTGGTTATCTTCCTGGCCATAGGCTTGCTAAAGAGAAAAGTTCATTTGCAAATGCTGTTGTTCAGGAATCTCGGATTGGTGGTTCAGAGGTAACAAATTCACTTTCAAATGTTACCATTACACCAGAACAATGTTAGCAGATCTTAGCACTATTGGCAACATAGTTACAAAGACAAGTTCCAAAATCTAGTCATCAATCACAAAATGTGATTTCCTCTTCATCTCCTATACCAGATGCTTTTGCATTGTCAGGTAATAATATTACACCTGCTGGTAAGTGGATTATTGATACAGGAGCCACTGAACATATGGTTTATTCTATCAAACACTTAACCACTACAATTTGTAAAGCTAATGTCTCTGTTCGTTTGCCTGATGGTAGCATGGCTACAGTCACACATACTGGAAATGTGAAGTTATCAGATAATATGATTTTGAAAAATGTTTAGTTGTGCCAAGTTTCAAATTCAATCTGATTTCTGCCAGTCAGTTAATAGCTAAACATCATTGCTTTCTGATATTCATCCACAATTGTTGTTTTGTTCAGGATCTTTCAACATGGATGATGATTGGGATAGGCAGGCTTCAATGTGGTTTATATCATTTTCAGCATTCTGAACACCAGTGCAATGATCAATCTCCACAGAGTTTTTCACAGCTTTCTTCAAGTCCAGTTTCTTTTCATAATTCAAGCAAACATTCTCAATCATCTCCATTTTGTAATAAACAGAATTCTATTGCTTGTACTTCTCTTAACAATGTTGCCAATATGGATATTGACATTTTGCATTGTCTTCTAGGTCACATTCCAATATCACAGCTAACTCTTTTACATAAATCAGTTCCTGCTATCACGTTTAATGAGCATTCACATTGTTCCATTTATCCCATGGCTAAGCTATATAGATTGTCGTTTCAACAGAGTGAGACTAAAACTTCCACACCCTTTGAAATAATTCACTGCGACATCTGGGTGTTAGCCCAAGAATAACTAACCAAGAGGGGGGTGAATTGGTTTTTGAAACTTTTTCGTTAATTACTCAAGATTCTAATAAAGTGAATACACAAATAATCTAAACACAAGTAAACTCGTAAATAGAACAATATAAATTAGTGCGAAGTAAATGCGTTAAGTAAAAGAGATAGAGAATGCAAACGATATGTTATGGAGGTTCGATCCAAAGCAATGATCTACGTCCCCCATTACCAAGCTCTCCGACACCAGCACGCCCTTTTTCACTATGTTGATTGACTTATGTTGCAATCCAACCCTTTACAACGCTTCGGTGACTTACAGACAAGGGGCACCGCTNATCTCTCTTAACAAATAATACAAGTTAAGTATGATGAGATATTTACACTTTAAATCAAAGTGTTGGCGAAAAAAACTTTTATCAAGAATGAAAAATATATGAAGTTTATGAAAAGTTATTTGTTAAAAAGATTTCTTGATAAGATGAATGAAAAAAATTGAATCAATCAAGAAACTCTTTTGCAATAAATGAAATAGAATTTTGACTCAAGTGATCTCAATAATTCTCAATAAGTAAGCTCTTAGAAAATCTCTCGTAAGTTGGTGAAAATCAAATGTAAAAGAGAGGACTATTTATAGAGTAAAATAGGAAGCTGCAGGCAATTTCAGCTGAGCTCTTTCGGTCGACCGAAATTGAAATAAAGCCATTGAAAAATAAGACCGTTGCAACTTGAAATTTCGGTTGACCAACAATTTCGATTGACCGAAATTCTTAAAACAATTTCGGCTGAGAATCAAACAATTTCGGTTGACCAAAAAATCAACAATTTCGGTTGACCAAAAGTCAACAATTTTGGTTGACCAAAAGTTGACTTTTTTGTTTTTCAAAATCTATTTCGTACTGTGAGTGAAAATCATTTTTATGCAAGTGATGAATCATAAAAATAATTTGAGCTTTATGCATTTACTAAGAATCGAAGTGTTAATTCCTTTACATTTAAATTTCAATAAACTACTTCTAAACTTTAATCTTCAAAGTTCTTGTTCTTGTTTTCTTCGAGTCTCATTTGATTGCTTGTTCTTCAACGGATGAAGATTTGGCTCTTTAAATGCTTAAGAAGATATATTCATAAAAACTCGAGAAACAAAACTTGTTAGAAATATAAGTGTATTGTTTGTTATAA